ATGAAATAGTACACGATACATTTGTGAATAATGCCATTTTCAGAATAATTTAAACATATAAAACTAGATTTATTTTAAAACTTAGAATTGCGAACGAGAGTGAAATTTATTTTAACGTTTATAACATCATAGTTTTAGTATTAATTGTACATTCTGTAACGTAAACAACAAATTGGTATTATCGGCATTGTTTACTTTCCTATGTAGATAATTTGATTGAAATTAAAGTCGTGTTGGGTTACATATTGATGTGTGTTTCGTGTTGCAGTTCTTTGTGCGGCTCGACCACATTCGGAAGTGCTTCACACAAAATGGCGGTATCTTCGTTTTAGAAGAATTTAGTAAGTCCTTATTTTATATCTTTATATTATACAAGATGGCAAACGAGTTAACGGAGAGCAACGAAATTATCTACCCATAGTCGTCTCTATTCACACTCTAATGAGTGTGAACATGCAAATACTTCCTCACGATGCTTATCTTCTGCGTGGTTGTCACATTGCACCGGGTGACCTGATCCATTCGTGAATCAACTGAAACTATTGGTATCCATTTTTTGCCTATCATTGTTACAGATCCCAAAACGAGGCAGATAATTCAAAGAAGATACAAATCGATAATGGCAAGTACACAACTACTGTTCCCTGCATCCAGTGTTTAATGTCGTTTTTGTTTATTTTCTTTTCACGTACCCATGTCTTATGTTATAGGCAGAGAAAGTAGTGCTTGATCTTCATCGTTTCTTCTCCATATGGCTTTCTCGGTACTATATAGTTATCGAGACAGAAGGCACCGACGCAAATTATGCACCTTGTGTCTCATAACACACTCCGATGTATGTACTTTCACTACCTATTTTGTTTTTGCACGACTTTCTATTATTTTTGCTATGGTTCTTTGTCATCAATCTATTTTACTATATTCTTTATTGTTTTGCCTTTTTATAAATCTTATGCATATTATTTTTACTGCTACATCCAAGATTGTTTCTTAATTTAATCATTACCTTAGCTTAGAAATTTACTCTACGGGTCTTTTTTTAGTTCTTTTGAGAACTGAATTGAAGTCAAAGTAGACAAGTGGTAATGGTAATAAATGATTTACTAAACGTTTCTGCAAGTATCGCTTCTATAATAATAATGTATTCTAACCGAAAGTTTTACCAATCAATTATTTATCGTCCAATTTTTTCGGTAATCTATTAAAACAAAGTGCTGTTATGCTAATGCTAACAATATTTCATTTTTTGAAGAGTAACGCTTACCTTTTTTTTCAGTAACTTCTAATACACATCCATTTTATGTGTTTTTAATCAAAATTCTATGACATAAAATAGCATGACTGATTTTTTTTTATCCACCATTATTTATTTGATATTTTACTACTTAAAAAATATATTTTAATTCACATACTATTTATTCAAGATCTAAATTGCACATGCTGCGGGTCGTTTCAAATGCCTTGTCTGCTCAAGGTCAGCAACGCGCTGTGTTGTGGACAAGATCCTTGTACTGAATAATAATAATTAACCACTCAGTATGTGTAGGCGGATCAGATTTGCTACGCGGTGTTGTGCGTGTTCTCGTACTTTGCGGCGGGACAGGAGCAGCGCAAGGCGATACTGGAGCAGGCGGCGCGTTTGCCGCCCGGCGCACCTGACCCACAAGCAAAACCCCCGGGGACTTCTCAAGCCAAGCCATCTGGGACTCCCCAAGCCAAGCCAGCAGCGACCCCGCAAGCCAAACCTACAGGTTCTCCGCAATCCGGCTCCAGAAGGAGTTCTACCTCAGACCTGCCCGAGCCTTCGTCGCCAACTATACGAACTACCTCTCAAGTAAGCTTTCTATGACAATACCTAACGTGACTGCATATGTTATGTAAATAAATACTTGCATCTTTTTACTAGACGCTTGTGTGATAGAGAGTGAAAGTAATTATGAAATAAATCATA